ATGGATAGATAGATTAATGGATGGTGGATGGATGGATGGATGGATGATTAATGGATGGATGACTGGATAAACCTTTTATTGATTGCCTGTGTGCAAAGAAAAAGGTTTACTTGGTTCATCTTTATACGAACAGCATACGTATATGAATCCTATGAAACCTGCACTGTCATTTTCTTTCAATATGAATCAGTTTGATGATCCGGTGTTTAGTGACCCAAACAAAAACAGTCCACAAACACGGGACAGGATTTATTAGGACAACCAAACCCACCCCTGAGGTAATAATTACAGAAATCTGCCGGTCACTGTTGCAGCGGGCTTCTGTGTAATTTCATATTTTAAATTAAAGGGAATGACGCAATCCTGTAATCGGTGTGTAAATCTCAAGGAGGATCCGTCTCTGTCTGTCCCTTCCACGGGTTAATAACATTATGATGCGGTTTGTCCCGCAGCTTTGCGGGGAGCGTCAGAGCAGAGCGGGCCTGCAGTGAAGAGGCCGCAGCCCTGCTCCACCAGCCGGCTGCTGCGTATGTTCCAGTACAGCTCAAGCTGGGCCCTTATCCGTTCACATAACACCACGGAGCGTCGGCATCCATTTCACACACCTGACAGGCTCCATCGCTGCTCTGACACCGTTACACGCGCGTGCACGAAGGTTATTCGGTGCAGCGCGCTGAAGCCGCCGCTCAATAAACAGAAAAACAAAAAAACGAATTAAATATACGAAACCGGGTCTTTTAAGACTCACCATGTTGTCTGCGGGTCGTGGACCTTCCTGTGTGACGGTTTATTGAGTAAAAACTCTGCCTCTGAGGACAGGCAGTCCCGGAGAGACAGGAGGGACGCTGCTGCCGCTGCGGAGGGTGGAGGAAAGAGGGCTCAACGCCAGGGGGCGCTGCTGCTCATCCACCAGCAGGCTCCTATCAGGTTTCTGTGTGTGTGTCCAGTTCAGGATGTGTGTCCAGTTCTACTGTCCACAGGGTGTGTGTCCAGTTCAGGATGTGTGTCCAGTTCTACTGTCCACAGGGTGTGTGTCCAGTTCAGGATGTGTGT